GTGTAAATTAGAGTAAATACATTGGCTGTAAAGTCACGATCAGTTGCTCTCCACCAAAAGCAAAACAAAACTGCTGAAATGTGGCAAGGTTTCTCAGTGCAAGCTTAAATGTTTAAACTGTTGACCATTTGGAAAATACTGGACAAAGGGGAAAGACAAAACATCATTTGCAATAAAGGTTATGCAAGGCAAGGCGTTATACTTTTTGACTAAGTTATTCTTAAAAGTTAAATGCAGTTCTTCTTTGAAGTCTGGATTATAAGTCAATCAAAGACAAAACCAGTTTGAAAAACGTTTTGTATTCTACAATACCTTTTATGAGTAAGAGTACAATATACATTTTTTATTTGTAATTTTATTTAAGGAGAAACACTTTCCCTTTGATATGACTACATTTTATAAACATCAAGGAATACGTTCTGCTGTCTGCAATTTTAGAAAGTCATTCCATTCTGGGTGACAGAATGAGGTAAGGCTGTCTCTTTAAAAACAAAAACTCACACCTGTAATCCTAGCACTTTGGGCACCCAGGCAGGTGGACTGCTTGAGCCCAGGAGTTTGACACTAGCCTGGCAACAAAGTGAGATTCCCCCTCCTCTCTACGAAAAGTAAAAAAATTAGCTGGTCATGGTGGCACATGCCTGTGGTCCCAGCTACATGAAAGTCTGAAGCAGGTGGATCTCTTGAGCCCAGGAGCTCAAGGTGGCAGTGAGCCATGTTCGTGCCACTCTCCAGCTTGTGCAACAGAGACCATCTCAAAAAAGTCATCTGTGTGTTTCTTGCAGGCACATTTATGACAATGTACCATGAATTTAAAATTTCTAACTTGATGGCACATTTTTACTTTTTTTTGAGACATAGTCTCACTCTGTCACCCAGGCTAGAGTGCAGTGGTGTGATCTCAGCTCACTGCAACCTCTGCCTCCCGGGTTCAAGATGAGGCAGCCCTCCTGAGTAGCTGGAATGACAGGCGTGTACCACCAGGCTAGGCTAGCTAGTGGCCTAGCTAGTCTTGAACGCCTGACCTCAAGTGATCCACCCACCTCAGCCTCCCAAATTGCTGGGATTACAGGCGTGAGCCACCACGCCAGGCCCTGATGGCACATTTTAAAAGGGGGGAATGACATAGGGGCAATTAATATTTATATAATAAATAGCTTTAGCCACTTCTTATGCTACAAAGCTCTGTACTTAAATTTTTTTACTATAAAAGGATCAATTTATTGTGGTTCAGATACATAAACTGACATTCAAACATCTTAAACTTTAGGAATAAAAGTTTAACATTTAAACAAAGTACAGTTTTCAGGAAACATCCAGAAAGTAATTTGTCTAATCCAGAGTACTGACAAAGATTGCTTCATGATAAAGTGTGTTTCACCAGCATTTTTTTTTTCATTCCTCCATAAAAATCACTGGCAGTTTGATTCAGACCAACTTCATAATGATTGTGGCTCCGTACCTTAGAAAAAACTGCTAAATAAATACCTTAGGTTAACCAACAAGATTCGCCTATAATTCAGAGGGTATCAGCAAAGCATGTAAGTGAGGAAATTAAATTGTTGTTTAGAGATGATGTAAAAGTGTGTCCATTGCAGTACTTTTCGCCTCTGACAGATTATTCAATTTTCAGTGTTTTACTTTTTTCTGGGGGCAGGGAGGGGAGGAAGGGTCTTGCTCTGTTCCCAGGCTGAAGTGCAGTGACGCATTCATGGCTCACTGCAGCCTCAACCTCCCGTGCTAGACGCGATCCTCCCGCCTCCGCCTCCTGAGTAGCTGGGATAACAGGCACCTGCCACCTTGCCAGCTCATTTTTTAATGTTTTGTAGAGGCAGGGTCCCACTATGTTGCCCAGGCTGTTCTCAAACACCTGGGCTCAAGAGATCCTCCTGCCTCAGCCTCCCAAAGTGTGGATTACTCGCGGAAGCCACCGTGCCCAGCCTTACCTGCTTTAGAAAACAAACAAACAAAAAATCTTAGGTTTTCTTCGAGTCTGTGCTAGTTGCATCTTGCAAATGCAAACCACATAGGCTCTTCAATGAAAACCTTTCCATGCACACCACTGTTAGGAAAAGCATCATTAAATCTGACTTCTATACCCATAAAAGGATGATTCTGAGCTTCAAGATTTTAGATTTACTAGAGATAGCCTGTATTTATCAATCATGTCACACAAAAATATTTCCAAAGTGTTCTCTGTTCAGAAATGTCACAAATGCTTCCGTCAGATCATTTTGCAACAGGTTAATACTTGTCTACATAAAAACCTGAAAATTGGCACAGGTAAGCACTTTGAATTAGTAGATTACCCCCATGCAACAGTATGCAGAATTATTTTGTCTCGTGGGCTCTGAGGCTCTGGGGCTCTGGGAGGTAGAGGTGGACCCTGACAGTCCATGTCACCAACATCCACATTCAGTTGATGCCTCTCCTCAGGCACAGTCCAGTACTGGATACCATTTATCATTCTGCAAAATGCTGTCTACATCTTTCAGGTGCTGGTCATTCTTAGATTAGCTTCTTAGCTGTACTGTTCATGAAGAGAAGACTTCAATTTTTAGGATGGATGATTCCAGCATCTTCCACAAGCTTTCACTTTCACATCTTTCACTAAATTGTTATAAATTTGTTCTCCTTCAAAAGTGCCCTGAAGTCAACTTTGGTTGTAATGTATTTGTCTCTGACGTATTCTTCAAATTCTTTTTTTCCTGTCATTGGAGGAGAACTGCACCCAGAATCTTATTTTTTCTACTTCCGCGTGAATGTGAAGGTACTCACAGAGGTTTCATCCAGAAGTCTCCCCTCTTCTTTCTGGTAAGTGCTTCAATGTGCTCATTAAGTTTCTCTTTCTCTTCTCTTTCCAACAAAGATCTAGATGCCCGGTGGTGATCTTTTTGATGAGTCCTCTACCAAACTATGACACATGTGAAGACCGTACCTGAACAACCCTCAGGGATAATGCAGGATTTTTCGGGAAAGTTCCAGGGTATCTCCTGGTGTCAGTATACTTTCAGTCCTACGCCTCAGAGTATTTTTTTTTTTAATAACAGCTTTATTGAGATACAACTCATACCTTACATTTAAAATGTACAATTCAGTGGATTTGAGTGTATTCAGAGTTGTGCAGCCTACACCACAAGCTAACTGTAGTATATTTTCATCACCCTGAAACGGAACTCTACACCCATTAGCAGTTACTCCATTTCATCTACAGCAAGCCTAGGCAACCACTAATCTTCCTGCCTATTCTGGACATTTCGTATGAATGGAATCATCATGTGATCTTTTGTGACTGGCTTCTTTCACTTAACGTTTTCAAGGTTTATCCATGTTTAGCATAGTTTAGCATATATAAGTCATTTGTTTCTTTTTAGTGCCAAATAATAGCTATGGGCATAGGAGTAGAATGGCTAAATCATACAGCAGCTGTTTCATGTTTTGAGGAACTGACAGTCTGTTTTCTGAAGTGGCTACACCATTTTACATTCATTCCCACCAGCAATGTATGAGGGTTCTCTAATTTCTGTACATCTTCACCAACACTTACTATTATTTCTCTTTTTAATTACAGCCATTCTAGTGAATGTGAATCTCAGGGTTTTTTTGTTTGTTTGTTTGTTTGTTTTGGAGAGTCTCACTCTGTCACCCAGGCTGAAGTGCAGTGGCACGATCTCAGCTCACTGCAACCTGCACTTCCTGGGTTCAAGTGATTCTCCTGCCTCAGCCTCCCAAGTAGCTGGGACTACAGGCATGCACCACCACGCCAGGCTAATTGTTGTATTTTTAGTAGAGATGAGGTTTCACCATGTTGGCCAGGCTGGTCTTGAACTCCTGACCTCAAGTGATCCACCTACCTCGGCCTCCTAAAGTACTGTGATTATAAGCATGAGCCACTGCACCCGGCCTCCTAGTAGTTTTGATTTATACTTCCCTAATGATTGTGTCCAGCATTTACTGGCTATTTGTTAGTGGTTTTTTCTTCTTTTTTTTGAGACGGAGTCTCGCTCTGTCGCCCAGGCTGGAGTGCAGTGGCCGGATATCAGCTCACTGCAAGCTCCGCCTCCCGGGTTCACGCCATTCTCCTGCCTCAGCCTCCC